ACTTGAATCCGATTGAACATCTGTGGGGTGATCTGAAGAGGGCTGTGCATAGGAGATGCCCTCGCAATCTGACAGATTTGGAGCGTTTTTGCAAAGAAGAGTGGGCAAATATTGCAGAGTCAAGATGTGCATTGCTGATAAACTCATACCCAAAAAGACTGAGTGCTGTAATAAAATCAAAAGGTGCTTCAACAAAATATTAGTATAAGGGTGTGCACACTAATGCAACCACATTATTTTAGTTTTTTATTTTTACTTCCCACTGAAAAACAGATTTCAGTTTGTTTTCAATTGAGTTGTACAAGTTATAGGTCACATTAAAGGTGGCTAAAGTTCTGGAATTATTTATCTTGGTCTCGTTTTTTTACATCACAGAAACCTGGCATTTTAACAGGGGTGTGTAGACTTTTTATATCCACTGTAAATAAATGAACCAGTGGGTCTATATACAGTACATTATGGAGTCTTTTAGGCTTCACATCATATGATCTGGAAACCTTCCCTTTTCAGTAACACACTGACCATTGAGCTCATAAAACACAAACAGTCCTGGTCTTTCATGTCTTTATTGAACACACATTCAAGACATGAAAGATCAGGACTGTGTTTCATCTTAGAAATACTGTTTGGTGATATTTGTGACTTTGGTTAAGATCAGGTCACATTTCCTGACCAATTTATGCAGCAAACCACGAGACTGTAAACGGCACCATTACTTTTTCTTGTGACTGTATAGCCTTTTTCTTGTTCTTCACTGTCAGCTGTTGACCTCATATTTTCTTTAAACATGGTTTTCATCTTTCACTCTGATTTCTGTGCTTTTTATGGACTGCAAAGAATGAAACTAGTGGCTAATGGAGGTCCTAATATACATGCAAATACAGGTTATGTATGTTAAGCAATTATATCGAATGTGGGGAAGATTCTAAGAAATATTTTATGCTCAATTGAGGCAACACAATTTGGTGTTTTGTATTAACTGTTATGCTGCTACCTCCAGTTAAGCCCAACCGTCCTACCAACAACAGGGGCCCATAGCTGAACTAGACCAAACAAATGAATCAACACTTTTGACAACCGTTTGCTCCCTATATGACATCTCAGAAATATAACCACCTAACTTGTGCACTGGCCTAATGACATGTGAAAGAGCATGGACAGGTTTTATGAGACATCTTGAGTTGAAATGCCTACACATGAATAAACTACCCCAAACATCATGTATACATTTATTTATTGAAACAAAGCAACTGGTACATTTAATTTATTGTGAACAGGTTTCCAGTGGAACAGGAGAAACACTGCAGACAACTTTTTCTCTCCCATATCACAATGTAAAGCCAAGCTCAATTTAAGTTTTACGTTTATATATTTTTTAAAAAATGTACATTTCACTTCGTGGGTGTCTGGAAAAACAAAATGATCCAAAATTATTTAACACGAGTCTAGAGTTCATTTCAAAGCCCTGCTACCCCACTTGACCTCCCCAATGAACTGTGTACAATTAACTGTCTTACCAAGATACATGTACATCCCAAAAACATTTACAACGGTTGAAAGGAACAAGCTGGTGCTTTCAGTCAGTTCCATTAGTACAATGTCACAAAGGAAAATGCAACTTCTAACTTAATACCCCCCACCACTGGATATATTATAATATACATTTACATATAAAAGTGGCTACAGATGCTATGATTAAGTTATCACTGCACCATGGCTTATTTTTATTGAACTCACAACTTCAACAGAAACTGCCATTTTATATCTTACATAGAAATCGCTATTGTACGTATCTTCATTCTAGGTAGGGTGACATGCAGAATGCTACAATTTTTTTTGTGTTTTTTTTGTTATGCTTTTGCATGTCTTTGGGAGATGTAGGGACATATGACAGATGAGATTTCCAGACAGCCACGGACACCCCCACCCCACCCCACCCCACCCCGTGAAGACCTGCTGAGTATGGAGCTGGTCTTTAAACATGGCATTATAGACAGGCCGTGGCTGCAGAGGAAGAAGATAGACAACACACAGAGGAAAAAAAAATCAGCTTTTACAAAACCCCCCCCCAAACAAACAAAATATTTTGTTCCCATGGGTCGTAGGATGACCAGAGGGAGGACTGGGAAAAGGTATTGGCTGAAACATTTAATCATCCTCACCATCATCCTGAAAGAAAAAAACATTTTTTACAGTGGTTGTTCCAAAAATAACATGATTCTTAGAGGAGTCATCTGAGTTATTCAAACATTTTCAGAGGCGTCTACAGGACGGCAAAGGTCTTCATCAAGCAGATCAATTAAATCAATGGTTCAACAATCAAGTGAGCACATCTTTAACAATATCCTTACCTCTCCATCTTCTCCATCACCATCCTCATCTTCATCTTCACCTTCCTCCTCTTCCCCCTCGTCAATATCTTCCAGACCCTCCTCTTCGTCATCATCATCATCGTCGCCTTCACCTTCCTCATCCTCCATGTCAGGGACCTTAGAAACATTTACAAATTAAGCACCTGATTCTGGCTTGCATACCTTAATTCACAGTTGGTCTGTTGTCCATGTGTTAGAGAGCGGAACAAGGAGAGGCTGAGCCAATCGATGCACTGTGTGCAGATCTACAGTAAAACAATACTTCAGCCATTTTAAATAGAAAAAATAAGAACCAGGAAAAGCAACACGTGGTGGTCAATCCTGATAGTGGCAGGCAACTACAAATTATTTCATATATGGGAAACACTGGACTATTAACTAAGAGACAGGAAATATGCATGTTTACAAACAAACTTGAGTTTTTAGTTTAAACAGTCACATTTTCATTCTGTTAATGTGTCTTCATTTACTGAAGTGTCACGGTTAAGGAAGGCTGTGTTAAGCTGCATTAAATTGCCTTTTCTGGTTTGTTCTTATATACATTCACATCTGGGCAACCAAAAATGTACTTTGGCCAGTGCTTAAACATTAGCATCTATTGCTGCCTTTCAGTAAATACCCAGAGAGCCAACAGCTAAAAGAAATCTAACATAGCCATGTGTGGGAAACATTAGCCAGGTAATTTAAATTGTGTAATGCAAAATGTTTATGAAATACCACATTTGACTTTGTTCTATGGTATTTTGCATTACAAAATGTAACTGTAAATATTACAAAAGAAACTTAATTCCCTTTCATCTTTCCTAATTTGACCTAATAGCTTGTTTTGCTTTTCTGGTCATCGGTTGGGTCCAAGAGCGTAGGTGCAACTTTCTTCTTCCCTCATCAAGAGGCAGAAAACATCCATCCATCATCAATAATGGCTTTATTTGATTGTATCCCACACCAGAACAACAAGAGGCAGCAGCTAGAGACTTCTACACCAGTTTGGAAGTGTGTACAGGATGCGCACAGTGCAGTATTTCATAGAATCACTAATTATTGTAAATGGGTCAGCCATTACATTATGACCACCTGTCTAATACTATGTACCTAGCAGTCAATGCAGCAGTTTGCTGGTATTACATTATGACCACCTGTCTAATACTGTCTACCTAGTAGTCAATGCAGCAGTTTGCTGGGAACCCGTGGTACTCTGCAGCTCAATGTGTATCTTTTGTGAAACCATTTTTCACAGTTGCACTGTCGGGAAGAACAGATGTCGACTTCGGTGAAAAACCTATGAAAAAGGATGAAAACTGTGGTTGTGAGGACAAGTTGGAGATCGTTAGGCGCTTTTTTATGCAGTGCAGCACACTCAAAGCTCTTTCACACTATTTGGCCATTCACCCATTCGCACTCCTAAACACTCACACATTCATGCACCGGTGTCATCACCGCAAGCAACTGGGGACTTGCTCAAGGACACGTCGACATGTGGACCGGACAAGCCGGGAATCGAACCGCTAATCTTCCGGTTAGGCAACGACCTGCTCTAACTCCTGAGCCACACCCGCTCCAATTAATTTGTATCATTAAGCAGTTAACAAAATAAAATCAGCTAAACTTAACACTGATTGTGAAATTTTGTTCCCAGTCAAAAACAGCAAATTTCAGAGCACTGCCTATTAAAATTAAATCAGTGGCACAACCAGTTGCGTAGCTGATGTGTAGGGCCTAAACAAGGAAAACACATGCAACTGAAGGAACAACGGTGAGGAGGATGGCTGCATAGGTTAATCAAAGTGTTGATTCCAATGGTCTCCAATAATATGAAACAAATGTGGTGGTGCTAAGAATGAAAATATTTAATATTTGTCTCTTTTCGGTGTGTAGACAGCCGGCTTCACATAGAGACAAATTTGCCCAGTGCAAAAGGTGCTCATTTTGATTCAGCTGGGTTGTAGCTAGTTGTCTACCTTACCCATTGTACAGATTCGTACAGGTTTCTATTTTTAAGTACTCAATTTGTATTCTTTTTTTTTTTTTATCTCATTTCCTACTAAACATTTCTTTGTTTGCATTGTTTATACCACTTATTTTGTATTTTTTATACTACACAGCCTTATGTTGATATAGTTTACTTGCCCCTTGCTGCTGCCTTGCATGGGGATATGTACATGCACATTGAGAGCCGCTGTACCAGAGCCAAATTCCTCATGTCCAACACACCTGGCCAATAAAGCTGAGCCCATGGCATGCTTTTCTGTGTTTTCTGACTTATCTACAATGTTACAAGAATGAATCATCATCTTAAACATGACAAAATTTACAAAAAAAAAGGTGTACCTGTACTTCTATGCAGAAGCACTTCAGTTTATACACCTCATGAACTCTTGCTGCTTCCTAAGACTAAGGTAGCCAAGATGAAGTGTAACAATCCTACCAAGTAGTACTGCAGCGGGTTAGGCCAGATGTCATCCTTGATCACCTCTCCAAGCTCGTCAGCTCCTGCATCGGAGTGGTCGGTAAACCAGGTGAAGAAGCTCTCTGGCTCCTCATGTTGCCTCTTCTTCCCTGCTTTGTTTGGCGTCTGACCTGTACGCTTTGTCAGGTCCTGGGGAGGAAATTTGTATTCAAGAATGTATAATAATTGTAAGCATTGTTACATATGCAGAAACCTGAAAGAAAAGCATCAAGAAAGCCCAGCATTGGGATAACAAGAGAAAGGGTGAAGTACAGGCATGGCATTGGAATTTCTAACACTAACTCACAATTTGTTGACTTTCTTAATTTTAGTTTCCTCCTCCTTATGTTAATGAGATTATGTAGTAACATGTAAAACATAACTGAAAACATTTTTCATAAAGTCAAAAACTAGCCAAAAACAAAATGCAAACTAACCTTTCCAGCTTTCCATTTGATTTCAGTTGATTTGGAAACAGGATCGCCACTCTCGTTTACATTAAACTCTTTGGAAAGAGCTTTGTTCTCAAAATATGGATTCTCATCAAAATACTGCAAAAAAGACATCTGTGTCACATTTGTATCAGAGTATGGCACACCATCTACAATGTACAAAGTGAATCTGACAACTCACAAAATCTATTCTATAACCAGACTTGATATCTTCGAACTCAGTGACTTCCACCCTCGACAAGTAATGAAGTGCTTCTTCGTCCTCCTCCCCGAGAAGAGCTGAAACTATAGGTCAGACACAGACACTTGTCATCTGTTGACCACAGACACACAACCAAATACAAGATGATAAGAACGTAATTCAACGGTTTACCTTGTGGATGGTTGACAAATGTTGTGACCCAGAAATTGGGGATTTTGGCTATGAGTTCCGAACGCTTCTGAAAGAATGGCTGGCGTAATTTGTTGTACTTCTGCTCTACTTTTAAAATTTCTTCACTAGCCTGTTCGTTCAGTCTGAGGGAGGAAGAAAGAAAGGTCAAAAAGAAAACTCTCCATGCACCCACATTTCAATTGTGATCAACAAAACTCACCTGTCAATTTCATTCTGTACTTCATCGATGTGTTCAATTGCTTCCTGTTGCTCCTTTTCTAAAAGGAAAAGAAAGCTTTTAAATAAGGCCTCTGAAATAAAGTTACACACCATTGCCAACAACAAATATAACTTCGCTCAAACCATAAGGCGCCCATGGCTACTGTGGCCTGATGGCATAAGGATATGGTTCAACCAATTACAACATGCGTGTAAAGTTATCACGATGTGGCAAAATGTATGTACACACTGTATTGTGTTAGATGTGATATCTGAATGGTGGGTAGAAACCAGTGGTTTGTAGTTTCATCACTATTTTGATTTCAGTATTGTTTAAAAGCAAAATGAATATAGCTCTTCCTACACATTTATGATGCACATGTCTATTTCTGCATCTCTAACGTTACAGATATTTTTTTTTATTATTTGTGGTTAACTTAGGATCCATTACCCAACTTAGATCTCCACGAATTATTGTAATCCTTTTTGCTTCTGAAGCAATCAGTGCAACCACATATCAATTTCAGTCTGTATTCTTATAGATCATACATATGATAAGCAATGTAATTTGTACATATATTTTATCCCTTTATCTGCAAGAATGTCACAGAATTCAACAGGATACTTTTGTATTATGAATGTGGCAAGCCCTCTTCTTGCTGAGCAATAAGAAGGGGACACCCGAGCAGTAGTAAGTTTTTCTATTTTTGTGTAAGGGCTGTAAATGCTACTCTTTTGATAAATGTTTCTTTATTTCTCAAACCTAACTTGAGAATCTGTTTCGGTAAAGCTATACCTTCTTCTAGCAAATAACTCCACGATATATCATAAAACATTTGTATTTGGAAGGCATGAATCATTCATTTTATCCACACACACACAAATCTGCTTAATCGCCCCAATGAAAGCCGCTTTAGCTGCAAATTTAGCCAGGCTTTATGTAACCCAATTTCACTTTGTAAATACAAAACCTTTTCATGCTTAAATAATACACAAATGTAATGAAAATGTTTAAGATATTCTCGATGTGAACTTAAACTACTTATATGCACTTTACTGCATCAATTTAGAGTGAATGGTCGTGCTTTGAATATTTTAGTTCTGTGTTGAATTCAGTAGAGCGAAAACACTCATCCATCCACTTTCCATGCACGATCTATTCCGTAAAGCGGGACGCCAGCCATGGTTGTGTCTGGCTGCTGTTGATGTGCGTGTGGTAGATCCATGGCAGCCAGACCCTTCTGCCTCCCGCAGTCTGGAGTTTCCTGTTGCTACTAAAGGCGGCCCGGTTTGAATGAGGGGTTTAACGACGTCTCGCTGCAAAATGCTATCTTCCTCACCTTGATAACTACTGCCAGGTTCACCAAAACCTCTTTGTGTACGTCAAGCGCATTAACATTCACGATACAACTGAACGGTGACATTACAACTCCCTAAACGAATAAGAAGCGCTTGTTTACATTTTGCTCAGCTACAGACTGAGCCAGCCTTCTAAGCACGGCTATGCTTCTGCTGAACAGCTACTGTTATCAGTTGTCGGCCTTGCTCGGCTGATTTGAACAGGGACACCGTGAATGTTGCACTAGCTAATAATAATATGGGCAAACAGTTGTTTGTTAAAGCTCTAGACATAAACGTGCATGAGGAAACGGACAGCTGTGTGGGATCTGCATACCACCCTATAGCAAACCTCCTAAAACTGCCTACATGAACAATAACTGCACATCACGCTAAATGCAGCGTATGCATGCAAACACCGGCCTACTTCGTGTGAACTCGCTGTTAGTAGCCGATGTAAGCTAACAGCTAGCGAGCCTCTTCTCACGATGCTAAATAGTTAGCCTATGCTAGTATGCTTCGTTACTGAATAGTCCCGCACAACATTATTTACCCCCATACGTATAGGCAGGAAACTTGTAAATTAAGTGGTTTATCCATAAACATAACATTTCAACTAAACAATAAACGACAATGAAAATAACATAATGACGAAAAACAAATGAAAATGGCGTTGCACAGGATAGCCGCCATTCCTTAACGTTACCAGAGGTCTCGTCCGCTCCGTCGTGATTTGAGTTCTCCTTCCTACTGACTTTCGTCGATGAGGCCGACATGGTTATGGTTTACGGTGACACTCTGACCAGATGTATATCCCGAGTTGTTTATAACTCTTCTTTGCAGGACAAAAGTTACTTCCACCTAACAGAGTGCGTGTCTTAAACCCACGATATGAAGAAATGAGCGGAGCTTAACACGCTTTTCCTCTCTGAAGCGCCCACTACTCTAACATATTTATGATACTCTACTGCCCCCCCGTGGCCGGAGTGCGACGTTCCAATTTTATACAGTCAGTGAGCACAACCAGGAGTAGGGATTTTGAGGATCTCAATTCAGCCACCCAGGAAGTTTCTGCAGGTCCTCTTCAGTCATCAGCTTCAATCTGAAGTTTTCCTCATGCAGCACCATTTTTAAATATTACAAAACTGAAATTATTACATTTTGAGAAAATGCTTATCTAAAAAAAATTCCTGCCTTATTCAACCTAGCTGCTTCCATTAAAGCATCTTGATTTCTCAGGCTTTACAGTTTATGGAAATGGACATCTGATAAGATGAGCCTAATAAACCACCACAGCTGTTATGTATAAATATATAAGGCGTGAGAGAAGATCCTAGGTGGGGTGAGAAATATTTGCATCCAGCCACAAATTGACCTGCCTCATTTGCTTCACTCCAGTCCCAGCCCAAGAACTCTTGATGTTCACCAGTGTCAGATGACTGGTGTTAGGTCCCATTACTGGGGAGCCTGTGATTTTTGGTGGCATTGCAATGACACGGGTTCTTTTTTATACATATAACAGTAACACAAGCAAATGATGTTTTTCCCAGTAATATTGATACAGTACTAATGTTCCGGCCACTATCTCCTGTGTTCAGTGTTAGATACTTGACTTACAGCCGTGAGTTGTATGTGAAACAGGAGAAATTACATGTTATGTTTTAATAGTTGGGGAAAAAACTCCCCACTTTTCTATTTGTGTTAATGGTGTAAATTTTAACAACTAATGACTAAAATGCTACATAGAGTGCAGTTTGTTTATTCACACACTGACATTATTACCTCGCATCAGCGGGTGCGTGAAAAAGGTGCGGTGCGGATTTTAACAACGCTGGCCATATAGGGAGAGAAATAAACACCAAGGACTGAAGACTGCCGAGTTGGGTAGCAATGGCAGAAGCGAGACTTTCCGAAGCATTTGAAATTGTTCCAGAAAATGGTTTACGGTTTTGAAACATTTAAATTATCCCACGCTGGCGACATCTGCTGGTTAAAGGCCTGTAAATACAGTAGAAAGACGAGCGATTTGGGAGATGCATGTTTTTTTTTCTCAACAAATTGTACTTTTACCGAGGCTAAGTAACATTTTGGGTGCAGAGTATTTTTTACACTGTGGTACTGCTACTTGTGCTTCTTCCACCACTGGTTTCCAATCCTCTCCTGCTTTTGTACATCACACGTCAAGTTGGCCAGACGAATTTTCCCTGGACTGCGCCTTTAGTCCACCTGGGCAGGTGTATCGAGTACTCGAATGTGATTGGTTGCTGCATCTTCTCTGTCAGTACGGACTGCCAACCAATCCTATTGGCGTTTGCTGACGTAGGTTTTGCGTTGAGCCGCAGTTTAACACAATTCAAAATTTTAAGACTGTTTTGAACAGGAGAACACGTCCAGGACGAGCCGTGAACAGCTTAAGTAAACACTGACTTTCACATGCTGCTGCCAGCTGACCTGAGGTAGTTGGGCCATTCCCCCCGGACCTGTTTCTGGCTCGAAGAGGACCCGCGGCAGGTGGAAGAGACGCTGAGGCTGCGTGAATGTCCAGCACCAGCCACCATGTCGGGTTTAACACCACAGGTAGGCTAAGTTTAATGCCAGAGGTTGTCCACTTCTTCAAGTTACGTTTAGTTTAGTTATCATGGAGACATAGTTGCCAACCTGACCCCAATATTACCAGACGTTCAGGTTAGTTAAATAAGATGTCACTTTGCCAGACAGGCGTTCTGGATTTTCCTGTTTGTCTCGTTTGCTTCTTCGCATAGTTCTGTTTATAGACAAATGCCCGTCAAATTTAATTGTAACTATTGACTCAGTTTCATTAAAAGATGTTGAATCAATTCACTTCTTCAGAAATAGGCAAACTGAGATTTTATTTGAACAAACACCCATTTCTCTAGTTACCTAAAAGCATTTTAGGTAACTTATTTAGTCGGTTTAACTGTAAAACCTACTGTCTGCGTGAAAGAAGATGAGTTGGTGTAGAGAGTTTCACATTTCAATAAGATGAGTCATTTGGTAAGTTTGTATTGTAACAAAATATTATATAAAGAAATCTCATTTTCCCATAAGTCTAGCGTAATTAAAACGATTAATTTAAAGCTGGGTGGCATCTAGCCACCATTTAATGTAAGGCAGTGTACATGGTAGGCTCACTGTGGGCCCTAGACTTAAAACTACTTCCTAGAAGTAGTAAGGTCAACCTGTTTTGTTTAGGAGGAGGTGTCTGTTAGGTAATACAGAAGATAACACCCATAGAAATGAATAGATACCAAACACAAAGGACAGCCTCAAAGGGTGCTTTTCATGCTTGGGCATATAGCAAAGCCAATTACTAGTAGCAAATAAAGTAATTATCCAGTAGTTATTGTAGGTTAATAGGTATTTGAGTTGGGATTGCAACTAATTCAGTGCATGCTTTTTTTTTTTCTCGGGGTACTTCGGTTTCCTCCCACAATCCAAAGACATGCAGGTTAGGTTGAGTGACAACTAAATTGCCTCTAGGTGTGAATGCGAGTGTGAATGTTTGTCTACAAGTGTCAGCCCTGTGATAGACTAACACCCTATCCAGGGTGTAACCCGCCTCTTGCCCAGTGTTGACTGGGTCTTAGAAGTGGCCCCAGCCCCACCCCACCAGACCCTCTAGCAGCATAGATAATGGCTGGATTAATGGTTTGGTGCATATAATGTCAGTGAAAAAACATGTGAATCACAACTTGGCAAAATTCAACTTTGTCTCCAGATTTGTCTCGACTGTAGTCCAAAACGCAAAGACATCTAGTTTATTGTTATGCATACTAATATATTTTGTTATTGCTTAACAGGATATAACCTGTCTCGTGAGTTCAGTTAGGGTTATTATTTTGATTACTGATTAATACTCTGATTGTTTTCTTCAGTGCTCAACTATTTATTCTATGAAGTGTCAGAAAATAGAATAAAATGCCCATAACTATTTCATAAAGCCCAGGATATTGTCATTAACTTGCTTATTTTGTCTGTATGCACTTTGGTTATTCTAGAGGTATTTTAAATGAACATTTTGACCAGGGCTAAAGGATTTGGAAAATTAATCTAATTGCTTCTTCTTCTTTTATTTGTTTTTCTAGAAATATTGCAATTGTGATTTTAAAATGTGATTTTCCCCCTTCTGTATTATTCCCTGAAAATAAGCTTTACTGTAAATAACACCAGGAAGACGTCATGTGTCAACCCAACATTGCCATGTGCACTAGTGGTGCTGAAGGTTAATGCTGTTAAATTTACTTTGTACTCATTTGTATTTCTATTTTTCACTTTCCTTTCTATATGTAGTTATTTAACTATAGCCTAGAGAATGTGTGATTAGAATTCAATAATAATTTTAAAACAATAGGGTTTGAACACTGTTGGTGCTTGGACCCTTAACAAGTATTTTGATTGTCGTGGTATGCCTTTCAGAGCAACAATCTGCAGGGTCTAGATGAGGGGGATATTCTTGACCCACAATTTCAGCAGCGTTTGGAAGATGCCCGCACTGTGATCAGACATGAGATTCAGCGGGAGCTGAAAATCAAGGAAGCGGCTGAAAGGCTGCGGCGGGCTGTCACCAATCGCAAGAGTGCAGCTGATGTTGAAGGCCAACTCAAGGCTTCGAGTCGCAAGCTGGACAAATTGCACTGGGAACTGCAGGAACTTAATGCCAGGTCTATGGCCACAGAGCGAGACAGCACCACAGGTAACTAAAACGGAGAACGAGCATACTACAGGTACCCAGCAGTAGACAGTGGTTCACAATGAGGGGCAAGTGACAAAGCAGTCTATTTCTATGTTTGTTCCTCCCCCCCGCCTTTGTATGCAGCTAAAGCCAACAGGTTTGGTTATAAGGTATTTGAACATTTTGGATATCCTTGTCACTGGTGTGCAAAGATGTACACCTTCTGAAATAATTGAAAGAAGCAATAATTACAAAACTTGTTAAATGAATAAATTGAATTGTCATTTAACCCTCTCAAATCACTGCTATTCTATTTCCTCCCTCAGACAAGCTCATCCTAATGCTGTATGGGATTTTTTATTTTTTATTTTTTATTGCAGGCTTCTTGGAAGAAGACGACAACCAGTCAACAGAGTCGTGTCAGTGGGAGGATGTCACATCACCACTGACCAGTCGAGTTAGAACCCTGCAGAAACAGCTCACCATGGAGACCAAAGTCAAACAGGGTGCTGAGAACATGATCCAGACTTACACCAACGGCTCAGTCAAGGTACAGCACAGCAGGGCCCAGTTTACACACACGCCTCAGTCTTGTCCCATGTTCACACATTTAGTCAGAGTGCTGACTTACATGGTCTCTCTGTAACTCATGTTGTAAACTGTTGGCAGCAGCAGAAAGCCTGAAGTGAGTTATGTCTCAAGTCTCTAATGATTCAAGTGTAATATGTCCATTCTAAGAGAATATTCTCCAGTAGACTTATATCCACTGTGTTAACTAAAAGTGTTTATCTTGGGCTAATACTGTGTCCCTCTGATCTGCCATATACCATCTAATGTTTCCATTGTTGAGTTCTGTGAGCTTGCAAATAATGCAGAGACTGAATCTAAGTACACGTATTAAGTCAATTAATTTTGAGTTATGAGTCAAGTCAGAAGCCTATTTATATGAGGCTTGAGTGCTACCCGAGTCTGAGCATGAGTGCCAGTCTCTGCTGAGGAACATCTGAAAATCAGGTCTTTTCTCTCCTGACTGGGTCTTGAGAAGGTCATACATGGTTTTAGAGCATCTGTTAATTACTGTAATTTGTTGTATTTGGAGCTTTTGTATCTCACACCTTCGGCAACAAATACAAGCAGACAAGATCATATCAGCCTGGTTCTGGGCTCTCAGCTGCCAGCTCTAGAACTGATTTAATTTAATTACTGGTTATCTTTAAAGCATTTCATGGCCTAGCTCCTGGCTACATCTCTGAGCTGTTGCTCCTCTACAAGCCAGAGAACAGCCTCAGATCCTCAGGCAGGACCCTTCTGCCTGGTCCAGAGTCCTCAAGACAAAAAGGAAGCTGGGTGTTAGCATTCTGGGCCAAGTCTGCAACTCGCAGAATCACTGCCATCTTTCAGATCACTTCCAAAAACTTTCTTTTATTTGTTTTATGTTTTATTGTTTTTATTTTGTTATATTTTTAAACATCTAATTTAATACCAAAGATTTTATTGTAATTCGGTACTAGCAACTATCAGACCATACACTTGTTGTGCACAGGCGCCATTGCTGTTAAATATTGCTCCTTGAACTACAAAATTAGATTAGTAAGTGTCTAAAACTGACAGATTGTTTACTTTAATGTGGGCAGGCACCTGTGGTTTTGTTCCAGAAGTTGTTTTGGCAGATCGCCTATCAAGCTATTTCAATAATCAACTTAGTGCAGAAGAATTACTGCAGTGGTCTTTAGTTGTTCATTTTATTTTCCAGGACAGGAAGATGCTGTCTACTGCCCAGCAGATGTTACAGGACAGCCGCACAAAGATTGAGCTGCTGCGCATGCAAATTATCAAAGTCGGTCAAGCCAGAGAGGGGGAACGGGATAGCATGTATGGTAGGTCTTACCATACAAACAGCTACACTTTTTTGCCTTTGCATTATAATCTCCACCAGAAAACAGTATAACAGGCACATTTCTGAAAATGTGAACTGTGACAAATCACATGTAAGTAACATTATCATATCATGAATCATTGTTTTAACTTTTGTAACAAAGCAAATGCAAACGGTATCTAAAAACATGAAATGATCAAATTGATACTCAGTGCAACAAGTTAGGTCTAATACAAGCTTTGTCCAGATCTTTCAAACGTATGTAATGGTCTTCATCAGCAGATGGAGTTTGCTCAGGCTCCATGGACAGGCAGAGCTATCATCAGAGAGGTGTGGTTGACAGTTCTGGAAGAAGCCATTACTTATAGTTTGTATTATTTGGTCAAACTGTTCACAAGGTGAAGAATGAACTTGCTAAAAAACTGCAAAGTAGAATGTAGTTGTTTTAGGCTTTTGTTATAATTAGCTTTGAATCCATAATTTGGACAACCAAGTTTTATAAAAAAAAAATTCTGATGTTGAATAATCTACCAGTATGAGCAGAATTTAGTTTTGCTTTATCAATACTTTACAGAAGATTCTGGATTTGTACTGATATGCATATATATCTATCTGTATACATATCTATTAACAAAGTTGTCATATTAACATATTGGCTATGTTAATTAAAAACTAGGATTTAATGGTTACATGAAAAACAAACTTTGAACCACAAATCAGACAAGATTTGAGAAATGGAAATATGATGCCAATTGGCGTCATTCATTGAGCTTAGGTACGAATGTCTTTTGTAATAATAATAATAAACTAACAATAATAAATAACAGCTTAGACACAGTGGCCTTTAAAGGCTAGTGCATAGTGTATCTGTTTTAAAATGTGCTGATGATGTCTAAGTCTTATAAACAGTACTCTGCCTGCCTAAAGGTCATCCTGTAGAGGTGATCAGTCCTCTGGAGCTGCGGGTGGCTGAACTCATGCACCACATGAAAATAGAATCGGCTGTAGCAGACGGAGCTAAAAATGTGGTGAAACAGTTGAGTGGGCGTAAGATCCAGGACCGTCGCATACTTGCAGAGGTGGGAACCAGCAGGATAGTCTTTATTATTATTATTATTATTAAAACAACACATTATTAAAATCAGTACCACCAGGAAATTAGTCTGGGATCTGAGATCAGATCACTACTGTGTCTTGAAAACAATGTAGAAACATCACTGCTGCTGCTAACAGGACTCATTGTTTAATCCTGATTCAGTTTGTCAGGATCATTCAAGACTTTTCACAGTAAGCCCTGCTGTTCTGAGCCTCCTTTATGAAAGCCTCACAGGCTGGTCTGAAAGGGAAATGTTTCCATGGTAACTTAGGTTAGGCTTACTTAACTTTATGAAAAGTCTTTCCTAAAACTAAGTCTGTCTTACGATGTGTACTACATAACCAAAACATCCCTGGTTTGTTTCTACCTGGGGATCTTTGTTGCACGCCATTTCTCTCTGTTTTTCTGTATTCCTCATGAATGCTGTGCTGTGCATCCCTCAGGCTCAGGCACGGATGCAAGAGTCGTCTCATAAGGTGGATTTGTTGCGTCTCTCCCTGGAGAGACGTTTGAGCGAGCTGCCTCAGGACCATCCCCAGCATGCTGCCATTAAAGATTTACTAGTTCTGGGAACCTCGCCTTCCTATGGCACGCCAAAGAAGCAGTCTAGCATTCCATCCTCATCCTCCTCTTCCTCCTTCTTCAGACCAGCCTGTCTAACAGGTTGATCCCTCAACCAAATAAATGTTTTCCAAAAACTTGAAACTGAACTGACAACAGTGCTTTTCCTCAGGTCGGTTAGAGGTGTGCTTGATGGGCTGCCAAGACCTGTTGGAGTCTGTTCCGGGCCGTGTACATTTAACCGGTGGGTCATCCACCTCCGGAAGCCTTTCAGATGGAAAGTCTCTCAAGGTGAGAGCTGGCCTATCAGGACGCAGTGCCAATGGCAAGACAGCAAAGGCTGATGACCTGTCATGTAAGTCAGCACAATAATATTTTGTTTGGTTGCTTTACTTCCTCTTTTTTAGGGAAGTAAAGCAACCTTCTAGTGCACTCATGTCTTGTATGAGTTCCTTTGTTTCAGTTGTTTTTTGTTTCGCTCATTATATTTATTTATTTACATATATTGATACTACCTTAAAAATAACACCTACTTGGCTAACACAAGAATTTGAAATGTGGGTTAAATGTTATTCAAGAATTTGAAATGTGGGTTAAATGTTGTTATTAATTTACTGCACACACACACACAGAAACTTGTAGTCAGTGTCATGATAACAGAACTGAGACTGAGATAACGCTGTGTTTACATCCCTAACAACGCAACATGAAACTGCATCACCTTTGCTACTGTATCCCAGCTTTGACCAATGCTCAGTTGCCATTACAGTATTACCATGAATATACGCTTTAGAAACATGCCAGTGTGATTAAGTAGTTTTGTGAGTCCTGAATAGTGTTTGCAGATCTTCTTACCAAGGTGCGTACTGCTGCAACAAGCAGTGCTGAATTTGATACTATGGAAGTGCAATGCTTTCACAAAGGAAGAAAAAGAGACTTTATCTTGTAAATATGAGTTCTGTATGCCATAATCAGGATTTACTATCACAAAATGAGAAAAGATCTCATTATTAAAATCAGGACACTTCAGAGATATAGAAGCCTTGAATTTGTTTTTGTTTATTTTTTTGTAAATGTGCTTCTATATGATGCTGCTCATAAAGCTTAATATTGCTGTGAGCTCACATTAATAGTTGAAAACAGCACAGATGAGTGATATTTTTGAATCTCTTGCCTCATCTGGATTTTAGCTGCTGAACACACAGTGGACACAGTTTAGACAGATGTTCAGATTTTGTGTTTTTATGGCTGCTAACACTCTTTTTTTTTTTCTTATTCAAACATTTACAGCTATTGTGTATATCACTTTGTATTTGTATTTGTGTCTCAGCGGAAATAAGTGCTGTGCTGAAGGTGGACAACAGGATAGTGGGTCGTACACATTGGAGACAGCTGGGCAAAGAGGCCTGGGGCCAGAGCTTCAGCATCGAGCTGGAACGGGTCAGTTGCTTTTACTTCACTAAGCAACTTAAAGGACAGCTCCATTGTTTAAACAGACAGTCAACTTACATGCTTGTAGGAGAACGTGGAAGTGAAATTACTGAGTTTCTGACACTTAACTGTAATATAGTAATGTTAAAACATAGACGAGTTTCAGAAGAGACATCTTTCAAATGACAGGGTTAGCCAGTAGTCCTCTCTACAGACACAAATGCCTCCGGAGTATGCGTTTTAGTCATCAACAGATAATGAGATTTGTGTCGGAGGATAAATTATCTTGGTTTGGGCTTCAAGACAACTAACTGATATCAGAAAGCCATTGTTACAAACTGGGAGCACTGAGCATGAGAGGCAGGCAGAAAGATGCTATTCAATGCATTATGACAGATGTAGGATCGAGTGTTTTTTATACTTAATAAAGTGGGAGAACCTGCTGATTCTGGGTGCGGTTTTCCCCATTTTGTATTTTCATCTTAATTAGTTGTGAGAGTCAAAGCTGTAGAAAATTCAAAACACTTTATTGAATTTGAGAACAAAAAAGTGGCAGCCATATTTGCTGAATTCATCCAAACATGACCCAGATTCTAATTTAAATTTATTTAAATTACACAAATCATATTTCTCAGCACTTTAGTCCCGAGCTTCCTTCTGTTAAGAACGACTATTGGATGTTTGCCAGCCTTGGGAGTGGTTGTTAATTCTCTGAAGTGCACAGACTGGAACAGTACTTTGACTTTACTTTTTATTCAAGATCACAGTTGTTCATGTTTTGTACTGATGATTCAACATAAGAATATCATGTAGCAGTAAAAGTCAGTCATGTAACACATATCCTAATATTGTCAATTTGAAAAGTTAATGTAACTTTTACTTCCAGAAGCTGTCAGGATACAGTAGCTCGGCCGACGCGGCATAGATTTCTACCATTGTACCATTGTACCATTTACTCTGTCCCTCGTGAATCCCCCAACTTTATGAAACTGCAGCACTAAAACATCAGAGTACCTTTTAAAAAAAAAAAAATGTGATAAAAGAATTTTTCAGGTTCTCACCAACACCACAAGAGTATCTCATTATTGTGTCACTGCAGAGGTCTTACAACATTAATTATTTTTTCTCAGTTGTGGGAGTGAGTGATATCCCATCAAACCTCTGAGCATTTGTTGTGTGCATGTTGATCTAGTCCAGGGAGCTGGAAATTGCTGTGCACTGGAGAGACTGGCGGGCATTAAGTGGGGTGAAGTTCCTGCGGCTGGAGGACTTCCTAGATAACCAGCGACGTGGCATGTGTCTCCAGCTGGAGCCTCAGGGCATCCTCTTCATTGAGGTTCTCACTTTCATCTCTAGGCTATAGACATTTTGCCTTTATTGACACCTGTTTGATGTTATAGTTAAACTACACTTAAAATCACTGGGCAAACAATATATAATAATGAAATTTTACAGCCTACTGCTAAACAGCTTGCTTCCCATGTGCATACATGTCTCATTACAGAGTTGTCTTCATTTTTAAATCCAGTAAGGTTTGAGTTGTTCCCTTATTGTTTTTACTCCATGAAAATGAAAAGTTCAACTCTGTGCCCTTTAAGTTTTTTTGTTATTGCAGTAAGTAGCAGGGACTGACAGTCACAGTACTGTAGACGGTGTTGTGACTAAAATCCTTCTAAGCAGTACACATCTTCCACTATGATACAGCCAGTAGTATTAGTGCTGTAACAGTCCTTAACCTGAATCTCCTCTGTTGATTTCCAGGTGACATTTATTAATCCAGTCATTGAGCGGCGCTCCAAACTCCAGAGACAAAGGAGAATTTTCCCTAAAGAAAAAGGTAGTTCGAGAGCTCTGTTGTGAATATTATGAACCACCCTCATCTGGAATAAATATGTAAATGTTACATTTCATTAACTGCAATTAAACCATAAAAAGGCTAACTATATGTTTTTTTTTTTCAATGATTCCTAAGGAGCTAACTACATTGTATGAATAATCAAAAATTTGACAGCTACAACACAATAGACAGTATTATGTTTGTTCAGTGAGTCCCTAAAAATTTTCCACGATTTGCATGTGAAGATGTTGGTATATAGTTCAGATTTGAACTCCTTCTCTTCACAGGGAAGAACTTCCTGCGTGCTGCACAGATGAACATGAACTTTGCTACTTGGGGCCGTTTGATGATGAGCATCCTGCCTCCCTGCAGCTCTCTGGAGCCCATGAGCCCTCCATTAGCTGGCCCTAACACCGGCCCCATATCCTCCACTACTTCCCTGGCACAGTAAGACTCTGGTGTCTATACACACAGTGAACCAGAAAACATCTCAGTGCCACACCTATAAAAGAACTGTTTCAAAAAAGAGCCATTAACTTCTTTGCTTAACTTTCCACAGTGACTTGAGGCTATTTTTACCCATTCATGTTATCTGAGAATAAAGAGAATGTGGTTTCTGTGAAGGGCTGATAGCAGCATCGTCACTGACCTGCATTCAGAGTTGAGAGGCTTCAGACACAGGGGTATCATAATGATGTTATAAAGAGGAGCATTATTAAAGGAAAACAGCACTGATATTTTTCCTGTTGTTAACAGAATCGCATGTGCAGAGCCAAACCAGTAATGAATGTAACCTACTAACTGTATGTGTAGCTAAAGTCTGATATACAGTCAAAAAGTATTCAGACTGCTTCACTTTCTGCACAGTTTATTATATAATAAAACTGCCATTTTTAACCATCCCTCTACACTCAGTAACCCATAAAAAAAACTGAAAACATGGTTTTAGAAATGTTTGCCAATTAATTAAAAATCAAAAACTAAAATTTCTCTTTTAAAAAGTATTCAGACAATAAGTATAATTGCTAAGCCTTAGAGACCAACATGTAGGTGCCACTGAGATGTATTCAGATCAGTCTCATGAAATGATTAACCACAAAATCTAGACAGCTATTAGTGTTTAATTTGCTATGTACTACAGTACAAACTATGTCAAGTATGATTAAGTATGCATATATGTTCTGAATATATGTATGTGCATAAAGTATGTATGTTGGATATATGTGTGCATGTGTATGAATATGAATGGAGGTGTGTGTGTGTGTGTCAGGTGAACCACCAAAAATCTCTATGGAGGACTTCTGAGGCTTTGTTAGAGCGACCATGATGGAAGTACATCCTGCCACAGTGTTTTATGGTGCACCAACCACATTTCGAGTGCTATTCAATTTGCAACTCAGCGTTTGAGAGCTTGCAGGCATAGATTTAGAATCACAGAATCAGATTTGAGAGCATGATTGCTTGCTTGTTTCTGAGTCTGCCATCTCAGATTTCTTCACTGGTTTTTGTGTCAAAGTCAGTCGGTACCAAATGTTTTGGAAGTACACAAAACTATTTTTGAGAGCTATTCTATTTGCAAAACAGAAATTGAGCGCACACAGGCACAGATTATAGAATGGAGAAACCTGAGGGCACAGACTCAGAAACAAGCACATGCTTGGACAAATCGGATTCTGCGTTTACAAATGTGTGCCTGCACGCTCTCAAATGCTGAGTTGCAACTGAGTAGCGCTCGAAATATGTTTTTTTTTTTTTGTGTGCAGTTCTTTTAAAATGTAAAAGGTATTTACAGATCATTAAGGATAAGGATAATCACCTTTATTGGCCAAGTATGTTACACACAAGGAATTTGTTTTCGGTACAAAACCGATGCAGCCATCTGCGGCGCCAACTCAACCGATGGCTCTAACCATCGGGGGCAACGGGGGTTTTAGTGTCTTCCCCAAGGACACTTCGACATGTGGACTGCAGGCACCGAGATTCGAACCTCCAACCTTCCAGTTGTGAGACGACTGCTCTACCCACTGAACCACTGTCACCTGTTAGATGCACATGCTTATTTTTTTTTGATAGTTCATTAAAAAACTCTGGCAAAATTGTATTTATTATTCTGGCAATGTGCACAATAAGTTTGGGTGTTGGCCAAAGCTTTTTGTGAATTTTTTCATTTGTGGAGATGACACTGACCAGCATGTAGGAAATCAAGGATGTATCACAGAAACTAGACAGCCAAGCCAGAAGACAGCCCTAAAAGCCTTCAGTAAAACCGACATCACTAATAATAACAATCTGCTCTTTTTTTAAGAGATCCTGCCATAATGAGTCTAAATTTTGCCGAAGAGCAACCTGGCAGTTCTCCACGTCACACAAGAAAGAAAACTCAAGACTCTCCTCTGGTAAGCAAGTTAGATTGTCTCCATTATCAGCGGTTTTGTTGCATCCAGTCACTGATTTTATCCTCTCTGTTTACCTTACTGATGAACCAGTCTCCCAGGGCAAACAAGAGCCCAAAGCCAAAGCCACAACACTCAATCCATCCACCTCCACAGTAAGTTAGATTTAGTAGTGTTGACTTTTCCTGCACTTTCTGTGTGATGATTTGCACTACCAGTTTACAGTACTCTAAAATATTGTGCATGTAGTAATAAAAAAAGGAAAACTTAACAGCTCAGCTTGTCATGTACGTAAACCACAAAACTCTCTCAGTGCTCTACATGTATAATGATCTTCCTTTGTGGAGTCTCTCCACAGCCAAAAGGAAGGCTTTCCTCTCCATAGTGTTATAACCATTTTGAAGTAAGAAAAGATTCTTTTGTTTTTCTTTGCTAAAATAGATTTTAAATTCTAGGAGTAAAGAATATAGCTTTAGTGTTCTTTTTACATCTGCACACCAGTGACAGCTGTGGCCAGAAGCATTTTGTTTACAGGTTGCTTATCCATCTGTCCGTCTGTCCTGTTCTCATGCATGTGACATCTCAGGAACACCTTGAAGGAATCCTTTTAAGTTTGGCACAAACATCCACTTGGACTGAGAGATAAACTGATTAATTTTGGTGGTCAAAGATTCAGGTCACAGTGACCTCACATTTGTTCCATTGTTGTGAATGCGATATCTCAAACGCCTTGAGGGCTCAAGCATCCGCTTAGACTCAAGGATGATGTGACAAAGCTCTCTATCAGTCCCTTGTACTCCTCTGTACAAATAGTTCCTAAGTGAAGAAAGTGTGTTTCTCACTGGAAATTATTAACTAGAATCATAGTCATCACCAATATAGTGATCATTTACATTTTGCATAGACATACACTTAATATATTTTGTTAAATTCTTTCTTCACTACATATTAAATATGAGTCTGGACAAACATGCATGTACCGTAAACTGTAACTTGATTGGTTGGCACACAACTGTGAGGCGGTAATTCTAGTTTGATTCGTGTTATAAATGTGAGAGAACACGGTTTAAAACGAGGACAAGATGGTAAAAATGGATTAGCAATTTTTCATGTGCATTTTTGTATTTTTATGTAGCAAGGAAAAAGAGCTACAGATGCAAGACTTCAACTGTATTTCTGTCCTGGGAAGAGGTCACTTTGGAAAGGTACACATGCAACTTGCTCTCATCTGCAATATACCTGTCAAAAATATCAGACGCAGCATTATGAAAACTGAAGCCAAGTGCTGATTGTGTAATGCAAGTTAAGAGCGTCTCCAGCTTGAATTTGACCAGTAACATGTTATTTCATATCATCATCTCCTCTTCCCTCATTTCCTGTCAGCTCTCTTCTGTATTCTAGAAATGTGTTTTTACAAAAGATATATATGCATCAAGCGTTTCTCCTGTGTCATGTAACTGATCCAAGGTGCTGCTAGCAGAGTATAAGAAGTCGGGCAAACTGTATGCCATCAAAGCCCTGAAGAAAGGAGACATTGTGACACGTGACGAAGTTGACAGGTAAGAAATCCCTCAGCTAGTTAATGTGGGACATGATTCTAGTGTTACTGCGTCTTTCCACTTCCCCGCTATTTGTGATGAATAGGCTCTAAATGTGTCTGCACCAAGGTCCTGTGTCACAAAGCTGACTTCACTGAGCTGGTCAACAGGCTCTGATAACTCTGGGCTGTCATAATCTGCTACGAGTGTGTTCATGTGAAAAAGGCAGAGTTGGTCATTACAAGCAACATATGAAATAAAATGAATGATGTTTGAATTATCATAAATACTTTTGGAGCATATCAGCTGTGGAGCGTGGGTTCTTAATCTTTTTCTTACAAGTCGCCTGGATTTATGTAAGCGCCCCATTAGTCCTAACGTAATCAGTTCACTTTTTATTTATTTGTATAATACCAATTCAAAAGAACAGTCATCTCTGGGCACTTTACATAATCAGGTCTAGACCTCACACTGTTATAAGGAAAACCAAACAAATCCTCCTTGAGCAAGCTCTTGGTGACAGCAGGGAGGAAAAACTCCCTTTACCAGAAGAAACCTCTGACAAACACAGGTTAACGTTGAGCACATTGTTTTCTTATTTTTCTTCCAAAAAATAGTTAATGAAGGAAAGATGATATGAAAGTAGATACAAGTATGGATTTACTATTACAAGCAAGTTTCTAGTTCTGCCATTTATAGCAGTTAATGAGCAAGAAAGGGGGCAGTGTATGTGTAAATATCCAGCATTTCATTAGTAACCAGCTCGGTGTGTTTGTGTTCAGCCTCGTGTGTGAAAAGAGGATCTTTGAAGTGATCAATACTTCAAAACATCCTTTCCTGGTGAACCTGTATGGCTGCTTCCAGACCACAGACCACGTGTGCTTTGTGATGGCTTACTCCCCGGGAGGAGACCTCATGACACACATTCACACCAGCATCTTTACTGAGAAACAGACCCAGTGAGCACACATCAGTCTCTCTGCACCACTCTCCACTGGCATGCAGCAGCAGTATGATAGTATTACTTCTGTATCATCTTTTCTTCTTGTCTGTTTTTAGGTTCTATTCATCGTGTGTGCTCCTGGGTCTGGAGTTTCTCCATCGAAACAAAATAGTTTACAGGTGAGTCCTTTTCATGTTGCTTTCACAGCTGCATGTTAGGAGCATCTAGCATAAATTTGGACATTGTCTGCCCATTTGTGTCTGTCAGAGATTTGAAGCTAGACAATCTGCTAATGGATGCAGATGGCTTTGTCAGGATAGCAGACTTCGGCTTGTGCAAAGAAGGTAAGACATTTTGAGTAGTTTTCCCAGGTCCACTAAAAGTTAGTTTTTTGTTTGATCCAGATGTTTCATCTGTAATACATGGCAAGTAAAAAAATAGTTAAATGTCTTTTGTATGTTTTGATCATTGATCAAGGGCAGAGACACACCAAGCCAACATGAAAGAATTAGCAGTGACGAAGGCGTTGCCTCACCTCTGGGGCATTCAGGTTGAAAAAGTGACACGCCACAGAGACTATAGCTAACAGCCAACTAGCATGTACATTCTGTGCCTGCATGACAGAAATAACTCCATCTACCAGCAGGTGGCGGTGTCTGTAATTGCCATTTGGAAAGGGAAAGAAGAAGAGCTAGAATGCGGAAGTGTAAGTTTAAAAAAACACCTCATCTAACACAACTGCGGTTTACAGCTGTGTCTAATGGAGAATATGTCTGATAAGAAGTTGCAAATGACACTGGTGTCCTGCCCTTGGTCTTGTGGTTGTGAAAGAAGAAAGGAGGTGGAAAACAAGGAGAAACCGACTAAATGGGTGAAATCATGGACATTACAGTGACGGGCTGAAGGGCCTTTTCGTTCTCTTGTTGTGCACTGATTTGAAAAGCTGCTGACAGGGACTGACTGGTGCCAACAGTGTAAGGCACAGCGGGAGGACGAGCACTGACAGATGCTCACCGACAGTGTGACGGTGGCCGATGGCTGACCACCAGCTTGGTGTGTCTCTGCCCTCACAAGCACTCCGTGCTTCCTGAGTGAATTTCGATTGCAATGGGTGTACTGTGATTTTCATATTAGAATTTGTATGGAAGTGATCATGTCATGACAGATTTAAAAAGCTTCTGTCCATGGCAGTGATTGAAAGTGTCTGTCCACTTTAAGCTAGTTTATACTGTGTGTAGGTATGGGCCACGGGGATCGCACCTCAACATTCTGTGGCACACCAGAGTTTCTGGCTCCAGAGGTCCTGACAGACAGCAACTACACTCGCAGTGTGGACTGGTGGGGGCTGGGGGTCCTCATCTATGAGATGCTGGTGGGGGAGGTCAGTAGGATTACTAAACTGAGGTGAGGTCTTTGTGGGGAAGTGCAGGCTGATTCACCAGCCAGTTCAAGCGGACCACTACACAAATCCTCAGGGGCCCCAGCGGCTCTAAGTTTCACTGTGTAGCAGTTACTTTGTGTGAGTTTGATTAATTGAAAACATGCAAGAAAAAGTGAGCTGGCAAGTATTTATTGCAACATTTCTATTAATGCAGACGGACAATGACAGCTACACCTACAATTAAGCGATCATAATTTGCCATGAGAAATAGTTATGGTGTTACTTTTTGTGATAATTGAGTTCCTGTGTTAGATATAACACTGTACCAGTAATATTTCTATTTGTGTTGCACAGTAATCAGATGGTTACAAACTAGCCTGAGGACAGTGGTGAGGATGAACAGGGATCCCTCAATTTATGTTTGCCCCCTAGTGGATTAACCACCATGGTGCAGTTCCACACTGTAGGCTCACATGACAAACAGCAGCCAGTTCGATTTGACAGAATCTTTGTGTGAAAATTTAGAAATCAGGTATTCTGAGCCACATTGATTTCTGAAAACTTTAATCTTATTGTAAAGAAACTAGCCTTGTAAAAGCCCTTAAAAAGGTCAAATTGGTTCATTTTCTTAAGTTTGTTTTATTTCAAAATAATTTTATTTCATTTGTTCCTTGTGTCCTTGCTAACTGTGAAGAGATGACTTTCTGAAACAGTACCAGTGTGTAAGACATGTGCTGCTCTCTGATCTCTTTCAGTCCCCCTTCCCTGGTGATGATGAGGAAGAGGTGTTTGACAGCATTGTCAACGATGAAGTGCGTTTTCCTCGCTTCCTTTCTCCTGAGGCGGTGTCCCTCATTCAAAAGGTTGGTGTCCTACCAAAGGATCTGAATTCTGCATTGGAGTTTCTCATGATTTTAACAAAACCACTCTGTAATCATGAATCAACATCACTGATTTCAGTTGGTCTGGTTCAGGGGACAGGGCTCTGAATGATCTGAGGGTTGTGTGTTCTCTTTTACTGACTCCCCTCCGATGTTCTGTGCTTCAGCTACTGCAGAAAAGTCCTGAGAAGAGACTTGGAGCAGGAGTTGAAGATGCCTTAGAGATCAAGAGACACAAGTTCTTCCAGGTCATTATCCTGCACTAAATAACACCCTGCATGTACAGTAATTCTTTAACAGCAGCACTTGTCTGAACTTCTGTAATAAACAGTTTTCCAAGTAAATGATTAAAACAAAAAAGGCACAGCAGGTGCATATTTGCAGATGTCCTTGCTGCAAAAAATGTGTGGCTAAAAAATGTGAAATAGTTCAAGAGCTCATGGCGTGCTCAATTCCAACCATTTAATGTTTAATCTTGGAATTAGCTTTGCACCCGTCATAACTCCAAATAGTTAAAGAAACAAGGCATTAACAGACATGCAATGTGTTTTTTTTTTCTTCTTCTTATCGTTAAGTACCACTGAGTAGTAGAAACATCACTCCCTTTCAAGTAGCTCCAAGGTCGGTAAATCCAACTGGTGGTCGCTGCGTCTTCCCCCACACGACCACATACAGTCCCAAAGTAGTGAAATGAATTCCAACAGATAGCGTAGTGCTGAAAGGAGTTGAAATTATCAGTGTGTAAGTGGTGACTTGTGTGTAACATCTGCAAGGCGTTTTAAAGAATAAGAGATTTTTTTTTCTTATGTCCTATTTTAAATGTGCACCATTCACTGAACACGGTAGATGTGTTCATGTGTTAATGACTAACAAACAACATTAGGGATGGCTGCTGTGAAAAGATGTTTACACAGTATAAACAAGACAAATATATTTTTATTGTACGTAAACATAACAATGTAGCGCACAGCACCGACTGAATCCAAACTGCCAGTGACTTCTGTTTATTAACCCATTGTCTGCTGACAGGGAATGGACTGGGACGCTCTCCTGGCTAAGAAGGTGAAGCCACCATTCCTGCCCGTCATCAGGGCACCGCAGGATGTCAGTAACTTCGATGAGGAGTTCACGCGCCTTAAGCCAGTCCTCACCCTCCCACGAACACCCTTCCTTCTCACCGCTGAGCAACAGGAAATCTTTGCCGACTTTGACTTTTCCCACCTGAGTTGACCAAAGGGATTCTCCCTCCGTCCTGCAGCTTTGTCGAAGGTGGTTGATTTGTACCTACTTTTTTTTTTTTTTTTTTTAATTCTTCTGACTCCACAGAAGTTTAGAAACTACATTCCTGTCTGTTCCATGTCCACACACTTCAGCAAACTCAGCCTGTCACACATCACTGCCACACTTTGACACTGGATCTGATTTCATGGTAGAACATTTAACTTGTTTACTTTTTTTGCTCTGCCAAAGAATTAGAGCTAACTGTTAACTTGTTATCCTCAAGCAGTATGGCCACAAGGCTAAAGATTTGCCGTTTACCCTCAACATGAATTTTGGCTCAGGAATTTTTTTTTACAAATAGATTTTGTACCAGTTATGATCACAATGTCAACACTGCCTTCTCCATCTTATGAACTACACTGTAAATATTTGTGATCTAAGACTGAAGGACAAAGCATTCAGTGTACATTTTCTACTTGATATAATCACATGTCCATCAGTGGTTAACTAACCTATTGTTGGAATGTAATATACTGAAAATTGCCACATTTTTTAGGTTCTGTGCTATTTCTTAGTCAACACAACTGTACTTGAATGTTTTGAAATAATAATGCTCTTGTGATGGTTGTCCTTGTATAGAACAAAGATATAAGAAAATAATAAAATGTATATCTGCTGGATACTGAATGATCAGGAAACTCTTCACAAAACATTTTATTAATGTATACTGTATTTTCAAAGTTAAAAAACATTGCATGTCTGTATTGCATATAACCAAGAAGTACACAACATGAATTAAATGTTAATTCATATAAACCAGACCTCTATTAGGAGGCAATCTGCAGTTTGTCCAACACTACCGCTGTACATTAAACTCAACACCACATTTATTGCTGTCTTACAAGGTTACTATTGCACAAGGAAAAGCTCAAATGGAAATGTTTTGTTCTCACAGCTTTCTATTTTGTGTTCTCCCAGTTTAAACACATACAAAAGTCTAAAGACATTTGAGTTGAAAATAGTTTTTAAACTATATACAATATAAAATCGTCTAAAATGCTGTCCAGTGAAAGTCAAAGCAACCTCTTGGAGTAAGTGCTAAAAAACAATACAGTACAGTTTTTCATGCCGCCTTATTTCAAACCAGCTGAGGTTTGCCAAAAAACAACTCTCTCACTTGGTCTCACAGCTACTTAAAGAGAAAGGCTGCTGAAGCAAGTGGACCCTGTACAGCCTCAGTGTAGAATAACTAGGACCCAGCGACATGAACGGGGTAAAACTTTGTACACTAAACCTGACCATGTACCACTTTTTATAGGGAGGAGGAGACGATAACCAACCCTGGATCTGGACTGTCTACACATGCACCTAAAACAAGTCATTTTATTCAGAGGTTGATGCAATATTTGACATGTATCAAGAGTAAACTGAACAGTCCATTTATCATGTGACCCTCATAATGAGACTAGATAATTACTCTTCACATAAACAGGGTCAAGCAGAGTGTGGGTGCAAAAACAAAGCTCGAGTCAACAGGGCTTTAATACTAGCTTCACTCAGACTTTAAAAGTGGCCAAGGAGGTGCCTGTGGATAACTGCCTGTTTTAGGGAAACACTATGCTTGAATGGTTATAAATAAGGAAAAATAGCAAGCACTTCACTGCAGTATTGAACCACTGAGAGGAAAGAAGGTCAAGGAGAAGGGGAATGTTGCAGGGCTATGGCACAACAACACAAGTGCCCATATAAAACGGTAAACTGCACACAAGGATAGTTTTACCTTAACACTGTGGTCAGGTGCATGATCCCACAATGCAGAAAAGGTTGTTCTTCAGTGCAATCCAGTCATTTCAGTCTATTAATGTTCGTCACATTCCTAGACTTGGTCGCTGCCCTCCCTGAAGTACACCTGCTCCCACACCACTGTCCCCCACACACAGAAGAAACCCCAAAGGTTGTGGAAGGTGCCGCGGTCAAATGGGTTTTCATCTATACCACAGTGTTTGAGGTAAGAGATGCGGTGACGTGACATGAACTCCCAGGTGGTAGTGTTGAGAGAAACCAAGTAGAGGTGAGAGCCGAGCAGGAGCAGCACAATCAGCGAGAGCAGAGCTACCAGCACGGCCACGGCCAGCAGCACGCTGTTGGTCCGCAGCCACAGCTGCCACGTGGGCACATAGCTGAAACCTGTCCTAAGGAAACAAGCAGGAAAGAAGCAATGTGTAGAGGCTTTGTAGCTGCATGAATTTAGCAGCAGAGATGATTGGTGACAGAGTTGCACTAACCAGGCTATGTGCAGCCCCCACAGCAGTACCAGCAGCTGGATGGCTAGGTAAAGGACAAACCAGCGGTGGTTCCTCTCCCCAACACAATTCTCAATCCAGGGGCAGTGGTGGTCGTAACGCCGGACACAGTGCTGACACGTCTGGCAGTGCTTGGATCTCATTGGCTGCTGCTTGGGACAAAGTATTTGAGGAAACATAATTAAAAGTTTGTGTTAAAACCATACATTCAATCTATATGGATTGGAAACATTACTTCTGTTAACACTAGTTAACAGCCAGGCTTGATTCAAGCAACACTGGCTGGTCTTGTGTAAATCTGATTTTGACCACTGGTGTGAAGAAAATAGCTGCTTGCTGCTCATTAGCCTGGAATAAAGCTGTAATGCCATTTCTGAGGCAATCAGAACCACTGAGCCACATCCTGGCAACTGGAGAGATTTCATCAGATTTCATGGCTGCACCATCACTGAAGAAAACATCAGGAATATGGTTATTCCTGTGTGAGGAGGAGGGAAAAGCTGCATGCTGAGAACAAGTGTGTGATGAACTGCTCCTGTATGGTACAGTGGTTTGTGCTCACTGGAGGTAGCACAAGCCTGTAAGACACAGGAGTGCTGCCTGGAAACCTAGCTGTTATTCTACACCACTGATGGAACCTATAAGTACTATACAGCCTCCAGTGTCATATTTCAGTCTGAAGGCCACACTGGCAGCACAGACAGACATATTACACACACCATGTCCAGGAGTATTTTTTTTTCTTTCACACTTAAATACAAACTTCTGGCAGTATGACCTCAAAAAAAAGAGAATTAATTAGCTGAATTTCATAAAATTCTTAAATTTTAGTGAAAAAAAAAAAAAGTTCAAAATAACTTCACAGTCACAGTATTTCGCTTCAGAAACCTTGGAACCTTTTTCTCTGTGTTACCCTGAGTGAAAGTGTTCCTGTCCTGAATTACCAACCACATGAGGTCCTGGCAGCACGCTGACATGGCAGGGGGCCTACCTGCAGGAGACAGTGGCCACAGCGGCGCTGGCGCAGGGTTTTGGTCGTAGGTGGGATCATGTCCTGCTGCTCATCTGTCATTCCCAGGGTGAACTGGCATAACACAGGAGACTAACTGGTCAGAGAAGCCAATGTACATTTGAATTTCAAGCTGTTACCATAACCTGTTGTGCTGTTTGCTCCAATAAACATAACAAAATGTTCTAAAATAGCACTCCATAATGTATAGGTCGGATGTAAACACACTCCTGGGTCTTTATCATGAAACTGTTGTGACATTTACAAGTATGATCATACCTACATATTAGATTAACTGACCATTTAAGATACTATGAATTACACTAACCAACACATAGCTCTTACAGAGATGGAGTGACTGCAAAACAGGGATGCATCACATGCAAGCAACACCTGCACTATAACGCAGCACATGTGCAACGCCAAGGGCAGTGATAGATACAGAGGTGCTGCATGTGTTCCGTGTGTAAATGAACTTACAAACAACAAATACAACTATACTGACAAGTGTTTTTGTTTAAGAAAAAACAGCTGTGATAATCTGTAGGATAATCGCCCTACCATACACATCTTTACCCTTAAAAGTGTCCCAGACATTATCAGCAACATCTATTCAGCTACTTTTATTATCAACTAGCTTCCCAGTCTCAAAGGATTATAGCTGCCTCTTCGAGTATAATAACCCAAACATCTGACAAAGATCGCTCATATTCCTTATGACTGAAATAAATATTAAGTTCAGTAATCACCTGCAAGTCGCTGTCATCAGACAAGATGAAGCCTGGGTCCATCAGAGAGACGGTGAAATAAAGCAGCACGGACACCAGCACCAGCAGGACGAAGAGCACAGGCTGGACGAGCTGGCCTGTCTCCTCCTGCTTCCGCAGCTCTTCAGCCAAAACACAAGGGGAGATATGTCTGAGCTCAATCATCCCCACTGCCTGGAGGTCCCAGGATCAACTGGGACATTCACAGATTTTTTTCATGAATCAGATCTGACAATATATGTCAAGAATTAGCTCGTCGTTAATAGCTACAATGTTAAGCCCGCAGCTGCACATAATGTAGCGCTATAAAATGATCATGTGTGAGTGTAGGCTTACCTGTATCATGCAGGAAGAGTATTAAGGTTATGACCCATGTCAGAATGACGTGAGCGGTCCTTACTAGAAAGCCTGAGCCGAAAACATTTTTGAACATGGTCCTAGCATGGTAGGGCATCCATCGCAATCCTCAGCTGACTGGATGTTCACTCACAGCGCGGTCAGCGGCGAGCTAGCAACGAACGCAGCTATAATGACGAGATAACGAGCACAAACAAACCATTAATGATCACGTTCCTGAAACATCCAAATAGATAACGCGTCCTTTAGTCCAGTAGTGATGTTACCTGTGAAACCCGAGTTTGAGCAGAGGGAAAGTTCCCAAACAAAGCCTCGCTCCGAAGCAGGTGCCGTTAACCCGACTGTCACGTGACCAATGACAAACGGGGCCTTGTTTTGCCGGAATCACGTGACTGAGTCGGACGGACTGAGTAAAACCTGGTTCACATGGACGATTCCCTCTCCTGTCAGTAGTGCACACCTGTGGTAGCAAGACCCTTGTCAGACAGCGTCTTTTATAAAATGGGGCCACAGACAAAAAGGACTTGTGAACATTTTGGGCCGAATATTATTTCTAAATAAAAAAATCATTTAACAAACACCCTCATCAGTTACACAAGCACATAACTCACTTAAGCATTTTTACTGCCCACAAAACTGTCTCCCATAGCTAAAGCTTAAGTATAATATCACTGATAGCTGTCAGTGATGACTGCAACATTATTAGCTGAACACCTGAATGAGGCTTTGTCTCGCCATCACTATCAGCTGAACACCTGAATGAGGCTTTGTCTTGCCATCACTATCAACTGTTCAGTTTTGATGCCATATGTCAGAACAAGGTCAAGGGTGTGATTAAAACAGTGAGTGGGTTTAGTTAGTTTGAGAAAAGCCAACTGAGTCTAATAATGAACTGAATGCATTGTTGAGGCTGTCACTGTCAGCATCTACATGAATATTAAAGTCACCTACTATGATTATTTTATCTGTACTAAGCACTAAATCAGACA